GTTAATAAAAAACACCATGTAACAACAGTGTGAAGAAATTGATTAAATAATGTGAACAATGTATACATAGTACTAGCACTGTGTAAACACAATGACAGTACTGTGTGAACGCAACGTGAATATGGGGCGTGAACACAGTGTGAACATATTACTTTCAAGACTGTGTGAACAGAATAGGAACACACAAAGTGTGATCAAACGTGAATATAGTATGTGGACATGCAGTGGTACTCATAATGTGAACACAGTATGTGTAGTACACAGTGAGAATCTTCTGTCCAAAAGGGTTAAAGGTATAGACCAGTTTTGGAAACGCCCCCTCTCAAAAAATGAAATGGAAGCTCTTATTACCAATGATGTGAAAGAATATGTTTTGACTAATACGTGATGATACAAATTTTGCCGGGAAACCGCCTACTAATTGATATATTTGGTAAATTATTATATCTATCCGGACTGTGTAAACATATTGTTGATACAAAGTCATGGTTAAAAGGGTGAACGTAGTGTAAGAAAAATATGAACACATTTTTAGACTGATGAAATTAATTCGGTATACAGTGAGGCAGTGTGTGAGACTGCCATTTATTCTCCAAAACAAGTTCATTACTCTGACCATGAATCAGCTCAATTACTAGTCCAAATGAAATTGTATTGGTCATTAGCATAATATATTTTCGGGAATGACACAATGTCTTCGGTCTCACTTTGTTCAGCTTTCTAAACGGACAAATGATTATTATGGTAGTTTTAAGACTTGCATGAGCGTCAAGATGATCCTATAACATATTGCATCTCGCGAGCCATCAGTCTTTTTTCAATTTCTTTGCCTTCATATTAAAGACGGGCATTATAGTTGTGCAAAGCAGTCCGTTGAAAGGTCAGTTTACCTAAAGCAGGTGGGCATTGATGTCACGTCAAACTCGCTTCCCCCGATCGAAGCACCAGTTAGTTATAGCATTGTAGACCTTTCTAACAATATGATTTTTGTTCAAAGACTGATATCAATTACGTACTGGGTTTGATTTAGAAATTTATATGAGCATGGTTATAAGGGCCTAGTGTTGCGACGTGCATGGGGTTAAGATATAAGGGGTTCACTGCTGAAACAATAGCTGAAGGTGACCAGAAAAGGTTATTCAGTGTAAATGAGTGAAATGTCAATAACAAAGAACATCTCAATCAAAACTAAGTTAGGTGCAAAGAAATTATCTATACTTGTATTACACTGGTGGGGATAAAAACGTAGAGGCGCCATTTTCCAAACCACGACACCCTTGTTTGGCAAAGTGGACACAGCTAGTGTTAACCACAGATGCGCAAAAGACATCACGCATTGGCTTTGCCTATATAGCTACAGCTCTGTCATGCTTGTATCGCTCGCTCTCACTATAGCTAGCTGCAGAATGCGAGATTTAAACATGCCTAGTTGACACTTCCCGATCGAGATGACTTGCCTGCCTCATGGTGACTGTGGCGGCGGAAAGACGTTGTTAAAAGGCGCCTTGAGCTTCCTCAGCAAGGCACAAGTTAGGAAGCCCTCGTTGTGTCAAGCAAAAAACTAATGAAATATTAAGCGCAGCCCGGGAGGTGATTTATAATAACGGTAATTCGCATGTTGTGTAGGTGACAAGTTATATTTCCGATGTTTTCACTGGTTCTAATTTGAAAGAGACTGAACTAGGGAAAAGGGTTGGTTCAAATCAGAGAGAGAGAGAGAGAGAGAGAGAGAGCGAGAGGAGGGGTAATTGAGAAACAAGGATTGGGATATAATATATATATACATAATGCGTGTATTATACACATCCAACATACAATCCCACATACACATTTTATGCCTCTCTTGTACTTTAAAAAAATGTAATTATAAAGCTTTAGGAAGATAAAATAAAAATAAATGTACTATACGTAAATATGTTTCTCCAATAATAATGTTTATCGTTCAGGCTTTATGATTGCAACATAAAGGTATACATAAAAAAAAAAGTACAAAGGAGTCATTGCAACAGTGTTTTTGTATCTTTCCTCAATTTAATGAAAAACTGAAAATAAACGCAACAAAGAAAGATCCGTGTACGTCACTTATACTTTTAGTAATGCGAACATGACATCAATATTATTATACAAAATAGAAGTAAAATGTGCTTAACATCACAATTAATCCTGCATCTCATGGAAGCTTAGTAAAACAAAAGCAAAAAGGCAATATTATATGAAGGAAGGTGTGAGATGATAAATTAAATTTAAAAACAACAACGAACAATCATGATCGTTAATAAATAAAATACACAATTCAACAACAATACCATTCAAATAGCTGCGAGTTAACGTAAAGGGGTAAATTATATTGACAATTGCCCCTCGGCTAACCTACAAATCAAATAAAGAGAGGGTAGAACAAACACAAAGACATAACGACAGTCATCTTGGATATAAGTAGATCGTTACTATGGCAACGGTGCGTTTCCTTTTTGCTTCGTTTTCTTGGAATGATACAGGTCCTATATGTAGCATTCATATATTCAATCTTGATAACCTTGCACAAGACAGTCATGATTTGAAAACTGATAGTAGACCATAATTATTTCCAAAAAATGTTATTATAACATGCACAGATGGGATTGATGTTATCTGTCCAAGACAAAGACGTATAGTTCGCTGCAAGAAGCCTGTACAAATAAAAATCCTAACTGCATTAAATATGAATATACTGTTCACACCAGCGCGTGCGCCAGAATGGATGAAAGATGACTGTGTTTGCAGCTTCTTGATTTGTCGAAAGCCTCTGAATTCAAATAATAAACTGATCACGAACGTGCTTGTGTACAATGAACGCGAGTGCGTTTGGGGAATATGAACGATGTTTACATCTGGAACTGACCTTTTTTTTAGTATTATCTTTCTACTAAAACAGCTTTATACTAATAAACATAGTCCAGTTATATTTACCTTATATTTTTGCAGTTAGTTTACAGCATCGTAAGATCATATTGATTTGTGAATCAGTGAAATACATCGGCAAATGTTCCATAAAATCCCCTCGCAGGGGAAAGCGAAGTAACATTAATGACTTACCTTCTACGAAATGTTGTCGGCAGAATCTTCCGTGGCGCCAATTTTCACTTTGATTTTAGGTGTTACGCTATGAAGTGTCCAGGCAAGGCGTGTGAATTTAGAAAATATTCTTCGTCCAACCAGAGGTTATGTCCGATCTGATCGATATTTGTGATGATAGAGATTCGTCGATAATTGGACTCTCAGGAGAAATTTAAGATTTGAAGCGCACAATCCGAATTCTATGTACTTATTCTCTGAACGCAGTGTTATATGCTATATGCAAAACATGCCTTTTCCACTCTAAAATGTTTGCAAAACCACTAATTCCCGGTGCAGTGCAAATAGAGCATCACAATAGTGTCTCCTCGAGGAAAGTATAAGAGCACATCCAATAGCCCGTGGTCCAAAAATAGCTCAACAAAAAGGGGGGTTGTTGATTATACAGCAATTGCTCCATGTATGTGCGCAAGTAGTGTTTAGCTGTCATCCAGGGAGTAATTTTCATAATGATATGCGGGCGGGGTATACGACGCGCACGCACGGTCATTGTTGTATGAGATCACAAAGTGTTGCGTTGAGGGATCTATCTAGCATGCATCCATTCCGCTCCTGTTTGCGCGGCCAGAAAGCTAAAAGGATGCCCATGCACAAAGCAAGGCAATGCCTGTGTATGCGGTTAATGTCCTCGCCTTTCCTTTATAGTTTAAGCTCGAGCCGGATGGCTATTTCATTCACGTCCCTGATGACTGCTGTGCTGCCCGTGAATTTTGGTCGTGCATAAAATATAACTATTTTCTCTCAGACGTCCGCATCAGGTTTTGGGGCGGATGTCTGCATTACAGCCGGTGTCATACGAGAGACATGGGTTTTCTGGTTTAGTAATCATCCCATTATCCTGCTTTTATAATAATAATAATAATAATAATAATAATGATACACTTATAGAGCGCAGAAACTATCCATCATAAAGTTACTGCGCTACAAGAGCTCCTGATATGCTTAAATATACAGTTATTCATTCACCGCAGATCAGTCTTGCACAGGTGTTTGAACCCGTTGCAATCTTACTATTTATAAACAATCTAGTGAAAATTCTTTATAACAGAAAAGCTTGCGTTTCACTTTGTCTTGTTTTCACCTTGACATTCGAAATGATCGATGGAGAACCTCCGGGATTCATTGTTCTTGATATCAAAATTATCAAGCCAATATAGAATTCGTCCCCGATGCGTTCCTAATGATCTTATGCTTCCAGAAATTAAGGAAATTGCCACCGCGTGATTTTAAGTATCAATTTAAACCCATTGACATGTTTTTGGGGTTAATAAGTCATATTATAAGTTGTCGTATCAGTCATGTCTGAACAAATCTGCGACCGGGCTTCAATAATTTTGGTTTTCAATTTGGAATAAATTGGTTTTCTGCATGTGTATTACCTTTCTTTCTTTCTTCCCCTCTTTAGCTATTCCCCTTAGTATAAATACCCCCTTTTTCTTTTCTCTCTCTCTGTTGACATATACCTTATTGCCGTTAATTGCCCAGTCCTCTTTCTTCTTCCCCTCCCTTTCTTTTCTCTCAGTCACTCGGACTTTACTCTCTTTTTCTCAAGCCTCTCTATACCTCTCACAGCTCACACTCTCTCTTTCTATTTCATTTTCTCTTTTATTTTACAATACTAATAATAATCAAGCAAATCTTTACCAGGACTAACCCACTTGATGAAAAATACAATGGATTCTTTCTTAATTTTAATTGCCTGAAGCACACATTTTGTAAATCAGGGGGGGGGGGGTGTCATCTCCCCTTTGAGCATCCAAAATCTCTCAAATATTATCATCATATTGGGATCCTTATGACATTTGTTAAAGTTTTTTTATTTTTTTTATATTTTGGATTTGGAAATTCAAAATAATTCAAATAAAACACCACTTTGATACATTCTATACAAGCATAACAGTTACTTTATTGAAATTAGCACAAGGTATTAATCCGATTTGGTACAAAAGAAAAAGTACAATCTACATGTATTATATATTTGGTTTTGTTAGTAATTTGTATAGACTGTTATTAATGTCACACATAAATCACTGTTCTAAAACTAATAAATATATTTATAGGCATTTGATAATCATCACCAAGATTGGGGATTGGGATATAATTGTTTCCAAGAATCAAGTAAAAAAAAAAAAAAAAAAAAAAAGTAATAAACAAAATTATGTCTAACATGTTTTCATCATTCTTTTAGATTAAATGAATTAACCATCCAAATTTGAGAGAAAAAATTTGCAAGGAAAATCCCCCCCCCCCCCCGACCACAATTGTCCAGAATACCAATTTATCTTCAATACTGATTACATGTATTTGATAACATGTATTACTGGGCCAGTATTAGCATATGGTTAATAGCGGATGACATGTATACTACCACACAGTACATGTATTCTCTAATTCAAAGCAGTATTAAACAATGTGAATTAAAGCGCTTCCTATACAAGAACTAAGCTACAGGCAGTTGATGTAGAATCAACATTAAATATATCATAAATACTTGTTTTAAAGTCCACCCATATGGAGACGGAAGCACTATTCAATATACATATTCCTTTCTGCGACTGATTTCTCAATGAATGTTAATATTCTAGCCATCTTTTTCACCTCTATTCTCTAAACAGATTTTAACTCTTTTGTGAGACCAGAAAAATAGTTGTAGATCTCCAAATAAAGATGAACAAACAAACTGTATTTTTTTTTTTCTAGCTTGGAATGCATATAATAAACACATTTGGAAATAATATGAAAACAGATATTCTCAACTTCCCTTAAAAACACACACCAAACAGAAACTTATTGTTGCCAATTTTACAAATAAAAATCTAGCCTTAAATCAGCTTCCTCTACCCCTTCAGACCTTTTTCATGATCTTCAAAATTCTTTAGAAAAGAATACAATTACGGAGTGAAAAAAAAATGACGATTGACGTTTTTATAATTATTCTTTCATTGATACACCATCGACCTTCAGGTTTCAGCAATGGAATCATTTTATCATTTAGAATATAAAGTCTGTAATACAAGAGCATCTATCATATATTGTTAATTAACACCTGTTAAAAGGTAAGATCAATATAATTGGTTACACATTGTTTCAAAATATATGTGTTCATATATGTGTACTTTTATCATGAATCCTCAGAAAAGATTTCTGCCCCCATGTATTGTCTTTGTATAATGTGTAGTTTATCTTTGTATGCTGCATATTTTTAAGATGACTGGTGGCATATAAAATATAACCAGAATTGGATTTGTATCCCAAGAACTGTTGGATATCTAACTTTGTGTACGTAGGCAGCGAATTCGAGCAATTCTGTTCAGGCTGGCATGAAGACTCTTCAATGCCTGTGTTTATCAATAATTTTAGTTGTTTTACAGGCAGGACCTAAAGTACATGGATCTTTGACAGGTAACTAGGAACACATAAATATACCTTGATGAATATATGGAAAGATTTGCCTAGCGATAGTCAAAACATGTTGTTTCTTCCATTTTGTTATCGCATGATGAACAAACACATCTATAGGTACTATAAATATCATCTGTTTGATCCCAGAAGGACGTTAGCTCCTATAAGTTAACACAGAGTTAATGCCCTTATGGTTCTGAACAGACGGATACTTTGTTTCCAATGTCATGCCAATGGTGACACCTTTACTACAGGATAGATTGTCATCATATCAGTTTTGCAGATATGTCCTTGAAAGTGACAGAAGGTGTAGAGGCTTCCAGCAATGACTGAATTTTGTTGTGAAGTATGGGGGAATTGGAACACGTCTTGGGGTAAATCTCCATTTAGCGGCTGTACACCATCTTGACAAATTCTAAAACAAGAGAGAAAGAAGAAGAATTTATACATTAGAAAACAAGGTAATAGTCAGTCACATTGTGTCTTGCCCAACTCTGACCAAGTACATGAATGTTACCAAAGAGCATCCCTGACCCAAGTTTAGTTGCTCTTGAGGGTAAAATTTTATTTTTTTAAAACCTTAAATGATCTTTGACCTTAGGACATGACCTACAACAGCATTCGAACATGAGGCCCCCCTGAATACATCCCCGACCAAAGTTTGGTCACAATAAATGAATGGATAACTGAGCACTGAGCGCCAGGAGGGTCAAATCTGACTGACATGAGCGCTATACAAGAACCCACTATTATTATAAAAAAAAGCATGCCTCACTTGCATGTGCCCAACTTTTGGAAGAATGGAGTTGCTTTTATCATGTGCGAATGCATTCTTAGCAGCGCTCAAAATACACGGGGGCGGTGGGCGATTCGCCCCCGTGAGCTACAAAATCGCCCCCCCCCATCGGGTTGCTCACGGGGGTGATTGCAAAATTAAAATCGCCCCGGTGGAATTATAAAATAAAGATAATCTTTTCTGTTATAACTTTAACACAATATTGATTTCAATTTTCAAACCTTAAACCAATGAAATGGAACTAAGATTAGCATGCAAGATTTCTCGTTTTATGAGTAGGCCTATTATTACCAATTCAGCTCGCAGTGCAGTGCCGCCGTCAGCAGTGGTTATAGGCCTACTGCGCCGTTAGTAGCGGTGCGTGTGCACGCTGCCGCGCAATGTCTGCTGGAGCTGGAGGCGATCGGGCAAGGGCAGAAACATGGTCATGGCCTCCCACCCCGGCCCCCTTGAGCTGCCAAGTGAAAATGTGATATTAAAGCGGGGGGGGGGGGGGGGGGGGGGGGGGGTGGAGGGGGATTCTGGAGAGGAGGACTACTAATCTATTTAATTTTTTTCAGGGGGCGGGGGAAGTGAAGCGCCGTTTTAGCATGACTTTCTTTTTAACTCTTACTTTCACCTATCTCAGATAACCCTAAGTTTTTGGTTGCTGCTTTATATGTAGTTGATAATGCATGATTAAAATAAAGAGAGAGAGAGAGAACCACCATCATTTTGCAATGGTTCAGGGTTCGTGTAATGTACATTTGAAACCATTTCTAAGCGTCTCAACCCTAAAAAAATAGCAAAACTATTTTTGAGGAAAAGCAATATAATAAAGAATAATAGCTTTATATTGGATCATACTAATACTGATACGGGCTAAAGACAATGTGGTATTTGTATAGAGGTATTCCAAAATGACATTCTGATAATCAACATTTGTTCTGGTATCATACGTATATACGCATAATACAACTGATCTTTTTTTTTGAGGAGTATCATAGGTACCAATTCAATGGATATTTGTATAAAAAAGAGCCCCCGTCAGTTATAAAAGAGCCCCCGTGAGAAGGCTCACGGGGGCTCTTTTTTCGGGGGAAGAGCCCCCGTGGACAAAAAATTAATTTGAGCTCTGATTCTTAGAATGGAGACTGCTCAAATTAATCCTACGTTGACTATCAATTTCATTCAAAACTTGGGCAAAGGCAAATTTGACATGAATCAGGAAAATTTTTACTTTGCAGCTCCCTGGGGCCAGATTTTAGGTGTCAAATCAAAGAAAACATTACAGGCTTCATTGTGAGTTTCTTTGATTTAATCTTTTTGTACTGATTACAAAAATATTCAAAGGTGACTCTTGGCTACTTCATCTATGTACAAGTATCTATAAATACAAATTATTTTTTTATCGCATTTCCTATCATTAAAAGAATGAAATAAACAAATAAAAAATACGATTGAGGAGTTGAGGATCATAATACTGACCTTCGTAGTTGACTTGACCTTGAGCATCCTCACATCCACCACACCAAACTGTCAACCTCCTCATCGGTCATCTTCTCACCTGTTATTACAAAGAGATGAAGTAGAGAATTAAAGATTTAATGACTTCTTTATTCCCCACCCACATAGATATTTCTCGCATGCAAAATATTTTCAATGTACATTAGTATATTGACACAAGTTTTTTTCTTCTCATTTGGCCGATATTCATTCAAAAGCCTGACATCTTTGCATCATTGGATATATGATCCATCTGTTTATCTTGACACTCGGTATAGTCTGTAACAAATTGGGTCCAAAAAAATGTGTGTAAATTCTTACTCTTTATTCTTGTTTTGACATTTTATACATTGTCATAAATTCATAGTTCACATAATATTTTACACAGCGAATTGGAGCGTTCAACAGGCAGTGTGGTATACATAGTCCTACAATCTATATTTGCTCACAGACTACCAAGCAAAATTACACAGAGTTAATGCCCTCCTGGTTCCAATTTGAGCAATCCTTGTGTAAATATTATTTAACCCATTGACTACTGAATTATCAAAGTCTCATAGGGTTACACAGGGACCACCCGGTTCCAGTAAGCAAAGGGTTAAGCCTGTGCATAACTAAACAATCCCTGTTTAGTATCAAAAGAAAAAAAGACACCACCACCACCACTAAATCTCGGTATCACCCTAACTTGTGTTTGCAGAAGGTGCTGTAGTAATCTTCAACAACAACTTGTGAAATGGCAATTCCAATGATGTTGTTGATTCCTTAATACCTTAAACCGAATGCTCTGTTTATGAGCACGATTCTCCAAATAGTTTGATATGCATCACATCTCACACAGGCTCATCAACTAGAACTGGTTTACCTTGGTCCAAACTTTTGTTAAGATGTGGCCTCTTTGCTTTCCTGGTTATAGGAAGGAAGAAGCAATTCTGCTGGTTTCAGTATGCATCAATTCAAGTTTTTACACACAATGTATCACCCTTGTCGGTAACATTGTTGGGGAGAATTTATCCTTGACATTTTTTGTTTTGAAGAGTAAAAACCATCACACTTGATATTCAACCGAGTGAAAAATGGACCCTATATTTATACAATCAAACATTTCTTAGAGGTCACCTCTCTACAACGGCCACCATCGATAGTGGCCATGTATTTTGTCTCCTATGAGAAATAAATGTGCATTCATTGCATTTTAAAACCTGTCTACAAAGGCCACCTGTCTACTACATTTTCTGTTCCCTTGGGTGACCTTAATAAACAGGTTTGACTGTATATGAAGACCAAGTGAGGTAGAGAATCTTAGGGTGTTTTCACAAAGATCATAAGTTGAACTTATCTCTAAGTTGGACTTAACAATTATGAAAAGCCATTAGCATCCTTGAAAATATTTTGTAAAGTTATTTTAAAAGGCATAAAATGTTGATTCAAATCATTCATATTTTCTATCACCATGGGAGATTTCATGTTCTTGATGTGGGATTTATGAAAAATCTAAAATACTTGAATTTTTGAATTTGAATAAATTTCAAAATAAGGCTACAAATGGCTCTCGATAATATTTAAGTCCAACTTAGAGTTAAGTTTGACTCGAATCTTTGTGAAACACCCCCCCCCCCAGGTTTCACAGAAGAGTGCTGTTTCTCTCTCTTACCCAGGTTGGTGAGCACATGTCGGAGCTCAGCTAAGTTGATGGAGCCATTACCCTCCTGGTCAAATACCCTCAGACCCTCAATGAATTCATCCTGGGTGCCCTGTTCCTTCTTCTTCATAGTTGCTGTCATGATTGGTAAGAACTCCTCAAATGGCACCCTGTGTCCTGTAATACAATGATAGAAAAGACTTGTTATTACGCTACCTCTTTAGTGAACAGTAGGGATGTGGTGTAGTTCCTTTGAGTGATAAGCTTATAATACAAATGAAAACTCACATCTTTCATTAGCCAGGTTTTTGAAACACAAGTACATGTACATGTACATAATACTACATACGTACATTTACATTTATATGCTGCAGATTAAAGTATAAAACCTACTAATACGGTAATTCAATTTGCAATATCTACAGATACATATACAGGAAATAAATATGTGTGCTGTGTAAATCATAATATCATCATCATCATCCACATAATAATATCATCAAATAATGAGTTGCTGTTCTTAAATGTCCTAAAGTCCAAAATATATGTATATTAACAAAAATATACGCAAATCATTAACCAAGTCAAAATGTGAAAATATCATAAAATTCTGAGGACAGCTCATTAGTATACAAATAATACACATCAGTGAGGGCATTAGTAAGAATTACCCACACAAGGTACCTTTGGAACAGTCTAACACGCCTGAGGCAATAGCCGAGGGCGCTTGGACTGTTTTGAAGGTACATGTACCAAGTGTGGGTCATTTTACTAATGCCCGAACAAAATGATGTCTATTATTTGTTTTATAAGATTATGTTTTATTTGTTTTTATAAAATGATGATTTTGATAATGACCGGTCATTCCCATTGGATAATGACTGGTCATTACCCAAATTATGCGCAATTACATGTTAGGCAAAATAAATGCCTGGTCACGTGTACGCTTTCAACCAATCATTTGATTAGGATCCACGTCATCATCTTATAATAAGTAATGACGTGCTGGAGGTCACATAAACATTAAGCATTCTTTACAAGCATGGACTACTAACCTGCAAACTGATATATCACTTACCAGAATCAAAATCTTGAAGAAGTTTCCTGACTTCAGCCTGAGTTGGATTACCCCCGTTGGCTCTCATGACATCTCCGAGTTGCTCTGTATCAATCTTTCCATCTCCCCTCTTGTCAAAGAGACTAAAGCACTCCTGCATTTCTGTTATCAGGGATCAAGGAGAGAAAATATAAATGTCATGTGCTCTACCGGTACAGTATGTACATCCAAGATGGATGCAATGTGTTGAAATGTAATTATGGGTACAATAAGCAATTATACAGGACCAGTTCAATTCACAACATTGACCAACATGTAGAAACAAAATCAAAACAAAAAAACCACTAGGTACAGGTGTATATGCAAATGTTTAAATGAAATCAAAGACATACACAGTGTCCCAAAGAAGTAAGCAGTGCGATACAGAGAATTTCCACAAAACAATATATTCTCATGTAATGAAGAGTATCATATGTAGTGTATATACATGTAGTCTTGCCCAGTTGAAAAGAATATCACAACAAGTTCTTGAGTTGCTGCAGTTTTTTGGAAGGTATTTCTATCACAAATACACCAGCTGCAATTCATTCCAGTTGGCTTTAGGCTATACATGTACTGCATATATCGTTTGGAAACAAATAATTAGGTTATACATGAAGTACATGTAATTCAATTCATGAATAATTGTTGAGAAACACATCTGGGTCCCTCCATGATAATCAGCAGTGGCCGGCGCTGTGGCACCAGTGGAGGCACCACTGCACCAGACTGTTCAGGACAAATGCACAAGTCAGTGAATTTGTAGTGGTTTCAATGATTATTCATTATCATGTTATGGGTCAACAACATTTCTTTTTGGGGTAGTTTTATTTATTTATTTCTTTATTATTATTTTTTTCTTCCTATTTTTTCATTGTGGGGGGGGGGGGGGGGGGGGGGGGTTACCTGTAACTTTTAAGACTGTACAAATCTGTCTCAATTAAAACTTAAATTCAAATAGAAGAAACTATAGAACAATCTTTTGAGCTCACAAGCATCTAAACTATAGTACATGTAGTAACTAATATTTTGAGATTGCAATATGACCAGGAAGTCTAAGTACCAGCAAATCCTTTGACTTCCAATGTATCGTTTCCCGACTTGACTGACATGTTTTTTAGTATCCACTATCCACTGATATCGACCATAAATCTCCAGCGTACACACAGACACTTATTTTACACCGTTTCATTTCCTTATCACAAAATGTACCTGTCCTTGGTTTTCTATGTTTTGTTGTTTTGGGCTGTTTGTTTGTTTTAAGAAAAATTGAAACCGAAAAATTCACTTCTGCTACCCAGTACCCACATTCATTATTTTTTCTAGAGTGGGAATCTCAAGTTTCTTGATTCCCCCCCCCCCCATTTTCACTTCTACTTCAAAGGACAGAGATTAAAAATAAAATCTCTATGACAGGATTCCATGCATGTTCCTCAGCAAGATTCTCTCCTTTTCGACTGAATGATTGAGAGTAACCTGATCACCTGATATCACACAGCAGGATATCACCTAAGGCCTGTCTCTGCTCCACAATCTCCTGACATTTCTACCTGATAAGATTTCATTTTTCTTTTACAAAGCACAAACAAGAAGGTGGACAACAATTGTTCTTACTTGACGGAGTGCTGACTATGGCTATTAGATTTAAAGTTGATTTGTTTGATTGAGCATAACTCAATTATTTACTTCAGCTACTTGTTAACCCAACAAATTGAGTTGCCCCAAAAGATGAGGCAAGCAGTTTTGTAGACCATCGTAACCAAGTCTATTCTGCTGCATATATGACCAGGGAGATAGAAGGGATCATTTCATCTTTATCCTGTTTTTTCATTATCATGTACAGCAATGTAATTTTACTATTGTTAAGGCATGTAAATTCACTTCTATGCCATTTTATAATGATTTGCTGTCACTGTGATACTTTTTAATGGAATGTGGAGAATAAACTTGAACTTGTAACTTGATCCCTGATGACATACCTCTAAGCATAGATCTGTGCTTGTCTCTTCTAGTGACTTATGGGTCTCACATAGTAACATTGGCAACAAAAGCACATACATGTAGGTGAATCTTAGAAACCAAATACTCAATGAATTTTTAAAATGTATTATCAAGTTATTATAAAATAGTGACTGGATTGGCTTTTAAGATACTAATAGATAGACCCACATAGTTTGACAAAATGAAAAAAAAAAACAAGAAATTATTTAATCAAAACAGGAAGAGACAGGAGAAAACTCGATCATTTACAAACAATTACTCTTGTATTCAGTATTGTACTTATAATAAGACTTCTCATGGTCCTACATGTACATTTCATTATCTTTTATTTAACAACAAAAAATATTGTGTGAAATAATAAACAACTTGGATACTTCTAGTCTTCTAAGTTCTACCCTTGGATTACAAGAAACACCATGATTCACAAGCACAACAAAAAGGCAATAAAAAGGTGTTTTTTTAAATACACTGTACCTTAGTGTCCAATTATTTAAATTAATAGCAGATGAATTTGAATTTCTTAAAAGAAGCCTAGGATTACTTGCTTGCTGAAATAAGCAAGCATAACATAAACTATAAATTCAGATTTTTTTTTTTCTTCGATAGACAATATTTGTTTAAATCATCATGAAAATTACTGAATCTATCTTTACTTATTCCTAATCTTGACAAGATATGCAGCATATTCAACGCAATAGATTTGGGGATAAACATACATGTATGAAGTTTACATTTATCAGTTCTTGGATTTATGATCCGATAAACCTTGTCAAGAAAGCTTGACAAGAAAAACAACAGTCTTGATATATAAACATTTCTTTCAAATGCAAAATCAAATGACCAGATTCCAAAGGCCAGGGTACAGGTTGAGTCCACCATGGGAGATGTGAGTTGGTCAGTCAGTAGGTTAATTTTTCCTACAAACTGATTCAGACAAGCCCCAGTTCAAAACTGAGTTACATCTTTCGGATGGTGATGTTAAAGGTCGGTTGCGAGATGCAATTAATCATCTATCTGATTTAAATTTGATACATGTCTGCAAAAGCCCAATGCCATAGTACAGACATAGACAAACACAAAGACATTTAAGATTTATAAATCAACTGATTTGATTCACATGATATAACAAGTAAATAAAATTGTAAAATAAAAAAATGTCCAAACAATCCAGCATAATAATGATTTTACATGTATGCTAAAATATGCAAAGGCAAACAAAAAGCAAACACAGAGAAAAGACAAACTAACAAGCAAAACCAAAAAACACTGGCCAAATGAATGATCCTGCCAGTGTCCTCTTCACAACTTTCCTGACTTTTCTGGCTTCACTTTACTCTTCTTTAGCCTTTAGTTTATTACTCTCACTTCTGACAATGAAGAAGTAGACTCTAAACTATCTCATACAGTGTAATTCATCCAACACATATGAGATAATTAATCAACAATAGTGAGGTTTTAATGGTCTTTCAGACGCAGTGCAGTGGATATTTTCAAAACCGGAAGTAAAAGCTCTTTGTATTGTACACAGCAATGAGTCTGATTCTGAGTCAAGATTTTTCTAGATCAATTTGTTCACTAAGCTAAGTATTGGCTTTATTGCACTGGAAATATTTCGTATTTCAATAAACAAAAATAGGCAATTACATATCAGAATCACTTTTTTCTAAACAATATCACAATATGTGGGTCTAGAATGGGTCATGCCATGGCATATCCAGTCTCCTTCGCCACTGAAATCTTTCAGATTGAATTTTTGTTTGTTCGACAGGGATGCCGTGCCCTTTGCAAGCCAACGTTACACACTTCAAATTCACGCTGGCCCAGCCCATCGCTTGCGGCCTTGTGTCAATGGTTTGGAATGTGGATAAATGACGGAAAAAAAGAACAAGAAAATCACTTACCCGAAAGTTGATCCTCAGTGACAGACTGAAATATGAAAAGAAAATAATATTTACATTACTTACAGTCAAAATTTACAAACGATCATTGGAAAAATATAGTAAATTTTGATGTTTTCTCACCATGATTGCGGTAGTTTTATACTTTATTGTCAGTCGAAAATACGCCCAGCTGGTACAGTAGGTAGTATAGATGTGCTAGATATATATATAATCGGCCACTCTGATACGTGCACACCTAGAACGTACTTCGCGCGCTCCATCTTGCGCTAAATCTATGCAATTGTGATTGCCAGAAAAGAAAAAGAAGAAGAAGCACTACAAATATTTATGTTTAAATTTGTTTGCTCAGCGTAGCGAAACGAACTAAGAGTGACTTTTAAAAAAAAATGGATGAAATATAAGGATGTTGATTTGTTTTTGTTATATATGCTGTATACAGGGGCGTACGCAGGGGGGGGGGGGGTTTGGGGTTCAAACCCCCCCCCCTTTGGTATTTTTATGTATGTAAACCCCCCCCCCTAAAAAAAACCTAAAACCCCCCCCCCTTTGTTTTGTTTTTGTTTTTATTATTTAAAAAAAAAAAAAAAAAAAAAAAAAAAAAAATTATACCCACGGCTAACCTAAATAAGGTGACCTTACCCCCCCCCCCCCCCCAACGACAAAAATGTCAAATTATGAAATTTCGAGACCAAAAAAAAAAAAAATGTGTCCGCTTACCCCCCCCCCCCCCCCCCCCCCCCCCCCCCCCCCCCCCCCCCCCCCCCACTGAGCTACTTTTCGGCTGGCTGAGTCGTTGCGATTTTTTTTGACCTCCAAAAAAAAAAAAAAAAAGTGTCCGCTTACCCCCCCCCCCCCCCCCCCCCCCCCCCCCCCCCCCCCCCCCCCCCCCCCCCCCCACTGAGCGACTTTTCGGCCGGCGCGATTTTCAAATTTTCGGGAGCAAAATATTTTAAAACCCCCCCCCTTGAAAAAATCCTGCGTACGCCCCTGGCTGTATATCAAGTGAGATATCGACTTAGGGTGAAGTACACCGTACCACCAACGCCCCCCCCCCCCATCGATCTCTACCATGGTTCAATCCAAATTTATTTATTTAGACCATCTTTGTATAAAACAAAATAATAGTTAAAAAACATGCAATTTCATACCAGGCTATAAAGCTTCCGTATAATGTGTTTTTCTCTGGGGGGCAATTTTTCATTTATTTCAAGGGGGGAAGGCAATTATAACGATGACGTATAATGCACAGGGCTTTTAAATAGACATTCATAGAATTGTTCGAGTATCATGCTGATATGTCTTTTATTTTTAAACTATGTATATAGAGTGCACTTTTTACATCAGGCGCTTACGCAGGGGGGAGGGGGGTTAACCCCCCCCTTCAATTCAATTTCAAGTTCAATTTATTCATGTTTCCAACAAAACATTACAAATCAATTATAAGCATTTAAAACAAATGTAAGAAATACATGTTGGAAACAGAGCGGTCCACTAAAAAACAATGCTTGTACAAGTGTGAACACCTCAACTTAGGAATAATGAGTAATTAAATTAACTAATCTGTAACTACAAGAGGAACTACAAAATCGGGGAAATAAAAAGGGGGATGCCAACAGAGATGAGAAAGGGACAAGGCAATGCTTTACACGACAAAGATAGAAGAACACGGTCATAATACAAAGAGTAGACAATGACAACAAGAAGTGAGAGATCTGGGGTACAGAAAATAATACAAAATGATGAGTTGCATGTGGGGTTGAGAAGAAGAAGTTAAGGAAAGAGAAATGCGCGTTAGAAAGGAAATAAGCATGAGAAGACACAATATAATATATCAAATTAAATTTTTTGTTATGTGTGTGTTTTGGAGGACCCCCGCCCCCCCCCCCCCCCCCCCTCTTTCTTTTTTTCTTTTTTTTTAATTTTTTTTTTTTTTTAAATTATGCTAATGGGTGACCTAAAAAAAGGTGACCTTAACCCCCCCCCCCCCCCCCCCCCCACGGAACGAAATGTCGATCGGTCAAATTTTCAAATTTCGGGACCCCCCAAAAAAATGTGCTCTTACCCAGTAAAGACTTCCAGTAAAGAGAGTAACGTAAATGAATTAATGTGAGAATGGTTTAACATCTATAAAAGCTTTTATAGAAATTGGTTAATGTAGCGTTTTTCAACCTTTTTACATTCACGGCCCCCCTTTAAGTAGAAAAAAAGGGTCACCCCAATCCCAAATTTATTTATAGAAGATTCATTTTGCATCACTCTGACACTCGTCATGGGCAAATTTGTTTCTAAAGTAAAGAAAGATTTTTTTCTTTAAAGACACTTTTAATATGATAAAATTTTTACTTGATAATCAACACACTAGAAAAAAATGTAGAATTAATTAATGTGCGGGCACCTCGCTGCCGGAAACATAATAACAATACTCATTATTGTGCCGTCACCTCGATGCACAAATATGAATTATCCTGTATCTAAATATTGTGAGTGAGTGAAGCAAACGAGCATGGTAAAATGTAAGTTTTGAAAGAAAAGATAAAATATAAATTCAGGCATCTCGCTGTCATTTAGAAGGATATTTGGGCACCTCTTATCCAGGCACTTCGCTGCCTGAAACCATAATGTTTCTAAAGTTGCAAGTGAGCAAAGCAAGCGAGGAAGAAAGACACTTTATTATCTTTAAAATGCTATTTCCTCATGAAATTGTATGTACTCCAACGGTTAATAATTTTTGGTTTTCGAAAATCAATATTATTCCAAAATAATAACAATTTGTTTTATATTACTATAATAATCTCACTAAATAGAGTATACAAACAAACAAACATGAGTATAAACATTTACATTTACTCTAAGTTTGAAGACACTTTTTCCAATCTAGTTACAGAAATGAAGGAGAAAAAAAGAAAAAGAAGGTGAGGTATTCTTTAAAAATATCCTCTCACAAAATCTTTCTTCACAACTAATATTACCAAATCTTCTAATCACCACTGGGAGAAGACTATTGCCCGGTCTAAATTTTGTCATAATATTATTACTTCAAATATATTTCAAGGCCAAACTTTTTCTTAAAGATTCTATAATTCACAGAGGTGATAGATCATGGATGTTTTGATAGTGTTATACCAGCTCTGAATATATTGGTCATCCAATCTTTGCTCGATATTTGCTTTCAACCTAGAGGTGTTACACATAATTATGAGATGACCGCATACCATAAAAACCACAATCTCATTATAATAATTTTTCTTATACAGTTCAACCAGTCAGAGTGCTTCCCATCTTTCTTACTAGTAGACTATATTGTATATTGTCGCTGAGGGCGCTATATACTTTTAATATTTTTGTACCCTTGTACTGTCACCTTGAAGCTAAAATGGTTGCTACACATAAACAGCGATCAAATCTTCTTTCAAAGCACTCATTTTACTCGTTTATGATAGTGTCTAGTAGAAAACCTATACATGGAACGTATGGAAAAGTTGTGGTGCTCTAAAGAAATTATTAATGGATTAAAAGTTCGCTATTCAAGGAGCTCCGGAGATAAACAATTGGCGTCGGATCTATTCTAAATCGAGGAGATGCTGTTTGCGACGCCGTTGGATTCCCGTTATGAAGCTTTCAATATCCGTTGATTTTCACGAGCCAGGTAACAATGCAATTCTGAGGCGGAGCTGAGCTGAGCTGCAGCTGAAGCCTGAGCTGATTTAGTATGGCTTCATCTGTTTTCGACTGTAGGCGTTGATAAGATTCTTTAAGAATATAATTGTGTTCAATTCTGCTGTAGATTAAGATCTCAATGCTGATATTATTGTTTAAATCACTTTTGCAACTTAATCTAACAATTAGACCTAATTAAATATGCTTGTAACTTCTGACTTGGCTTGGTTTGCATGTTGTTATTTGTTAAATTAGTGTTACTTCTGTAGATCAATCTGCCAACTGCAGTTGCGTGACTATCAGTATCAGACTAGTATGGGTACTAAGTTAGAGTTAGAGGTGGGTGATCAATTAAAACATGAAGTCATGATAAAGTCTGATAAAAAATGAATTGGGTACCAAATGCTAAAATAATACTACACGCAAAGAAATAAATTAGAATTATTGTGAATTCTGGATACCGTAGTCCTACAACAAGTTGATTTAGAAATTTAGTAGAAGTAGGGTCTAATGTCATATGATCACCAGTGCAGTGGGAAGAGAAATTGTTTAACAATGTACAATGTAGACCTCCATGGTTTTACAATGGATTTCAGTATTTCATTTTGTCGGAACAGAATTTGAAGACTGATTTTATGGACTTGATTGATTCTAGATCTACAATGATGGTCACTTAAGGCTCATTCAGATATGAAGAGATGATAAACCATGGCAGGTTTTAATATAAATGTGTAAATGAATGGAAACTGCATGCACAACAAAGGTAATATTCTGCCTAGTGCCTACAGAGTATACTACTGTACCTTAAATTGAGTTCTATAAGATACAAAAGTAGATTGTATGAAGTGTACAGGTATAACACTTATTTTATCAAAAAAATAATAAGAAGAAGAAGAAAGATCTGTTTGTAAATTTTTTGTTGTTATTTTTTTTCTTCTCATTTTTAAGTCTTGCAGCCAATAAACTTGTCACATTCGATGCATGAGCTATACTGTAGGTTTTTAACCAATGTCAAATTCATAGGTCTATTTGATGAAATGTAGCATACCAGAAATAAGTATCAGTGAATCACAACCCTTTTTTTCTTCTTCGGGAGAGCGAGAGGAGACAGTTTTGTCGTCAGATTTTGTTTTTTGCTTGGCAACTTTTTTTCTTCTAATCATGTCTCTTTAAATAAAAATTTGCCTTAAAGTGTTTTGGCCACAGAATTCAGTTGCTCCTCCATAAAAAATAAATTGCATAATATTTTGATATAAGTTGTAGTAGCCAGTAGCCTTGATAAGGATTATGATTAAATTCATCTACAATTAAACCATTTTGTAATATCTCAAAATATATTACAATAAAGTTATCAAAATTTCAAATCATAACTAATAGATCACAAGTCTCAAGAATAGGCCCTACTGGAACTTTGAAATGGGGAATTTGTTTTGAACAGTTTATGAAGAAAACACCTGCATGGGAATGAATCCATTATTACTGTGGACCTGGAATTCAAATTCACTTGAATGAAACCCTCTCAATATTACATATGTGGTCTTAACATAATGAAATTTTTGTTTTTATCTCTTTGACTTTTAGAGGATGAGTGAGAGATGAAGGCCATTAAACACCATGTGCTCAAGACCTTCAGGGTCGGAGCTACCAATGGCAAGGATTATGAGTCTGATGGTGGTAAGTACATTTGTACATAAAGGTTATTTTTAGCAAAAGATAATTTGTTCACACTTACATTTTACAGACTCTTACTGTATGTGAATTTAGCTATGGGTTAGGAGCGTATTATGATAATTACATTTGTACATTTGATAGATTTTGAATCTGAAATTCCTAACTCAACAAGTTAACAACTTTATTTTTAATTAGAAAGTATAGCTGCCAAGTGTTATATATTTTGATTACTGAAAGATAAACTCCAGTTCTGGTAAAAAAAAGAAAATCAATTCTCACAGAATCAAACCAAAGTTACACTGAATGTTTAAGATTACAAATAAATGACATGTGCCTAACAATTTTGGAAGAAAATGTTTACTGGCTGAGTATTGAGCATAAAAAGACAGGGAAATCAAGGTAGTACTAGCCCCGACACCATGTGTGTTGTCCCATATATAGCTTTCTGTGTACAGTGCTTGTTACTTTACCAAAACTCTGCCAAATTTATTATGATTTTGATGACTCCAGAACCTTGCAGTGCACACCAATACTTACATGTACATGCTACATGATCAACTGTTTCTGATCCATTCCACACCTTTTCACAATGCAATCGCATTACCAGAACTCACCTTTATCTTTAATGATGATTTATGAAATACAAGGTCAATGCACTTTAGTTGCCATTGAATTGAATTTTCAGGTACCCAGTCCCTGCCCGTTTTTTCCTACTCGAATCCGGTTTCAGTAAAACCTGTTATGACTCGTGCCTTTTATGAGTGGCTTTGAACTAGTCGACCTTGTTAAAGTAAAGATGACAATCAAATACAATATCTGTTTGAGTAAAAGTATGTAGACATTGATTTAATGATAAAAACGCAAGTCAACAGAATAAATTGGGTCGCCCCCCTCTCTTTCTCTCTCCCTCCCTCTCTCTCTCTCCCTCCCTCTCTCCCTCCCTCTCTCCCCCTCTCTCCCTCTCTCTCTCTCCCTCCCTCAGTAACTAGTAAATTCTGTGTTTTCTAAATACTATATACCGATGTAATCTCAATATTTTCTCCTGAAATGTAGGTAAGACAAACTCTAGTTTGTCCCAATCAGATCTCAGTCTGAATGCAGAGGATATGAGCTTCAAATCAAACTCACCAAGAACAGTGGATACTGCATCTACTTCAGGTAAGAATTTAAAAGTTGATTTTGAGTTGAGAGTTTGTGGTTTCTCCCCATGGGGAATTATATATCGTTTAAAATGATTGTTACATGGAAAGAGGAAAAAAAGTGGTCGAACAAAGTCAATGAACCAAGAACATGTTTATCTGCAATGTACATGCACATGAAGTTGCCTGGCTGTCATCATGACAAGTTTCCACCACAGTTTTTATGTTTTTAAAATGAATAGACCATTTTCGTAATGTAACTAAAATTTGATGCGCAAATGTTTGTTTAGTGTCTTGATACAAGTTATTTAATTCACCTGTTATGAATAATTGTATTTCAATAGTAGTCAGAATGTGAATTGCATACATGTTGTAAGGTAGGACAAGCCATAATGTTTGTCCTACCTAGCAACAATTTAACATATGAAATTCACATTCTAAATATCGAAATACAATTATCTGTAACAAGTGAATGAGGTAACTTGTATCGAGGCACTAAACAAAGATTCATTCATTAAATTTGATTACATTACAAAAAATGGTCTATTTAAAAATAAGTCCAAATCATCAGTTTGACTGACTATTAGAAAGCACTACTAGTACTACAGTACATTTAAGTGCAGTGTACCAGAATTTACCTTCATTTGGATTTGCACAGTGTAAAGTACAGTGCAAACTGCAAAGCAGCGAAGTATGTTTCTGAATTCATGTCATTAGCTGGCATCAGGTACTTTTAGATATGTGGATGTAAACGGATGCTGAATGGGTGCATGTGCTTGATGTCAAAGGTCATGCTGATGATTGAAGGTGCTGTTATCATAGTGCCCAATGTGTTTGTACACCTATATGTAGCTCCTATTCAGTGGCATCAAAAGCCTTGTTCAGACGAGAGAAAATTGATCAAAATTACATGTTCATGTAGCATATAAACGTACAAAGACTCATCATATAGCAATAATAACATCATGGAGAGGCCAGTTGCTGTGACAGCTGGTCAGTCGTCATTGCATGTTCGAGATAAGATAAGCCCCGCCCAGTTACGCAGTTTTCATATGATACACAATCAGATTAGAATGGAACCCTGACCGTATCATTCGAAATGATGCTCAATGCCTCAAACAGACGTTTGGCTATACATGTATGACGTATCGTTATGCAACATTCATACTTGATGATATTATTTACATGTATTTTCTCCTATGACTGTATTGTTTTCATGTAGCCATGAAACAAATTTTGGTAGTATGAACAGGGGTGTTGGTAGTCATGGTATCTAGAATAAATGATAGAACTAGAGACGTTACACATCTACAGGTGTAATACCATCTCTATCATCAATATGAACTAACATGAATGAAGTCATGAAGAAGAAAACTGTTAAAAGAATTACAGCACACACTGCTTTAATATACAGTTTTGCCATGCAAAAAATAAATTTGAAAGATATTAATTTGATAACATTAACATTGTGAAGTAGAAATTTGGGTTTCTACAATATTCATTATTTAATTTCCTCACAAACTTTTACAAACTGCCTACACCCCACTTCCATACAGTAATATTTTTATTAAACATATGATCATTGCTCAGCTCACATATTTGTCATATTGTGTTTCTAAAGTTTAAGGGATATGGATGGTGAATTTCCTATGAAGTGAAACTTGATACTCTTAACGGTAGCTTTGATTTGGATTTGGGTCCGATTTAGACCTGACTTGAACAAGAAACATGGATCCATTGACCTTGACATGGTACACCCTTTCAAAAACAATCAAATGAAGTATGTGTGAGAAGTCAAGTATGGTAAGAGTGAGACAATTAAAGTAGACAGTTCAAGTCTGGTAGTATGTGAGAAATTTTATTTTATTTTGAATGTTTTCCCGATTTCAATTAACATTTTATTGTAGAGGTCAATCAGAACAATAATCAGATATTGCACAAGAGAAAACAATGAAATAAAAAAAATTGAGAAAAATGTACATAATACAACAATATTTGGCATAAAAATAAAAGCACATTAGCTACATACATTAAAACAAGGTCTCACATATAGATAACTATATTGCGATTATCTTCATCACCATGAAGCGGCACTTAACTGGAAGAAGAACTAAAACATAATTTTGGAAGTATCTGAGTTTTTGTTCCCCTTACCATCTCATATACATGTACCATAGCCATTTTCGTAATGTAACCAAATTTAATGCACACGTCCTTGTGATTTGTGAAGAGCTTCAAAACAAATTATTTCATTCACCTGTTACAAGTAATTGTATCTCAAGAGTCAGAATATGAATTGCCTGCCATATCTGTTGACAAACATTATTGCTTGCCCTACCTAACAACGCTACGTTTTTTGCTATACCGGTACTGTGAATTTCCTATACCTCTGACTGGACATACATGTACATCAAAGTGACCCTTCTGGGCTTTATGACCTTTTAATGGGTTAGCTAATGACTACTCACTCAACACTTTAATGGATTGATATCATCTAAGTGGGATCAAGAGGAAGTAAATACCTTGTAAATTCCTCGTAAATTCAGACAGATAAAGACCTGATAGTAGCTCCAAAATATGTCAAATACCTATACAGACATGTTATGTTTTGCATTCAATAGTGTTCATATGTACCCTAGTAACATTGCATTATGATTTGCATTTTGGGGGGTTATTTAACATAAATCAAGGGTGTTATAGATCTTATATCATTAGTTACACCATTCTTTTAAAATCAAAACTATTAGTATGCCAGCACATAGTCACAAAATGTTCTTTTGCCAATCATGCATTGTAGTTGAGAATGCAAAACAAAATTGTTTTATCTGAATTCTTTGAATAAGCAGCTACAGTACAACGCAATATAGAAATCCACCTACAATGTACAAGTATGTACATGTACATGTACACGAAATCAAAGCAGTAACTTTGGAAACAGAGACTATTACATTAACTCCATGACAGAAACTATAAAATGCCAAATAAAATATCAAAATGTCTGTATTCTTTTAAAAACCTTGTAGTATTCATTCACTACTTTACTTCATGGCATGTATACATCTTCATTTACATTGTACATGTAGTTAAAAGTTGAAAGTAAATTCTCAACTTGACATTTTGTCATCAATGACAGAATAAGTAGCATGGACTTGATACAGCTTTTTATCAAGGTCATAGTTGTATTCAAACAGGATTTGACAAGTCATTTGCTACCTAATCCCTGAACAATCAATCACAAATGGCTTAAATATTTCTAGTTCTTATGACATATCCTATAAAAAAATATGGGAATTTTTTTTAATTTTTTTATTTTTCTAATCTCTTTGAAATATGAAATATTTTGTTTTGGTGGGGATGTTATGGATATTCAATTTCAAGTGGAATTTTCCAGGGTCAATATTCATGTAGTATTATTACCAAAAGTACGCTATGTGCTGTATGCCAAGGTTTTTCATGAATTTTTCATGGACGTATCACTAAGTGCAGTACTTTGTGTAAAATAAAGAATCAATGCCTCTCCATGTAATAATAATAATATCGGATTTTTATATAGCGCACGTATCGACCTTGCAAAGTCCTCGAGGCGGTCCAACACTACCTGGCTATGCTAGGCTGCCGATTTCAACGCTCACAGCATTTAAAGGAATTCCTTCTTACCAATACCCATTTAACACCTGGGTGGAGAGTGGCAAATGTAGATCAATGTCTTGCCAAAGGACATTAGTGCCGCGGCGGGACTCGAACCCCGGACCTTGTGATCCCCGGACCTTGTGATCGACAGTCTGGCGACGTATTCACTCATCCACAACATACGTACAGTATGTGTAGATTTATTGTTGCTGGCCTACTCCTACAAGTATGGGTGCAAAACCAGAAGAAAAAAATCATGTGCATAAAACGATTGCGAAATTTGCAAGTGAGTCAGATTTGTGACAGTTTCATCCTGCAAAATCATATTGAATCACAAACTCATGTGTATGTTACACTAAATAACTCCAATTCACAAAAGTATCTTGTTGTAAAATAATGGCTCTTCCTAACCCCCCGTGAAAGTTTCTGGGTGTACAGTATGCAACACCTTGTATTAAATAGTAAATCATAGTCAATGTAATAAACAATCTGCATTCTTGCTAGTACCACTATCTTTAGTCTCTACCCCAGACTAACTTGAATATGTACTGGTATCTTTTAACATAGTGCTTCTGGCAGATTTCTAGTAGTGACACATTGAGGATACTTTGATATCAATTTTAGTGCAGGTTTCTTGGTCTCTGGTGTCAATTATTGGATAGAAAACCATATGGAGTGATAGAGAGGGCTCATGTGGCATGGCGGTTTATTTAGTCCTCTCATGATAACATTTGAACATTTGAGTTTTGTAAGTGGTCTCTAATATTTCAGTTGATGTGAAAGTTTCTTAGTTTGGTTAGGTAAAGAGGACTCCAAACTATTTTTTCTGTTGGGGGTCCAGATTTAATTTAGTCTGCGTGAGCCCTATGTAGAATTTTGAAATTTTGGGTGCTTGTGTGTCCCGGATGCCTGGGGTCCCGGGTGCCTGTGGGTCCCGGGTGTCCATGGGTCCTGGGTGCCTGTTAGTGTGAGCCCTGGGTAGAGGAGACTAAGCTGAGTGCTCTTCTCAAAATACCCCCATCAGGTGAAGCTAAAGGAATGCACCTCATTGTTAACCCTAATACTGTGTTTTCATTTGTTTACTACACAATGTGTGCACACATGCAGGTAGCTAGAAACCTCCTGCCTATACTTTCCTTTTGTTTTCCTACGTTCTTTCTTTCTCCGTGCATCTCTTTCAAGTAATCTGTTACATGTAGCTCAAACCTGGAGACTGCTACTGGTGTTTAATGACGTCTGTAGGTCTGGAATGTTAGATCTGCTGATACCAGCCCTTAAGAGATTGCCATATGAAATTGAAAGCACTGTCTACAAATCTTATTAATAGTTTAATTAATCATTTAGATATGACCTTGTTTTATTATTGTCATCTTTTCTTCTTCTTTTTGTCTTCTTCTTCATCTTTTTGTCTTCTTCTTCTTCTACCTTGATCAAGAACACTATATCACTTACAAGGGACAATGTTTGATATTAAAATATAATCAACTTTATAGCAAGTGCAAAATAAAGTCAAAGAAATAGATTTTATTTAAACTTTATTAAATACATTCTCCACTTGACATCATTGACTACCGGTACCAAGTATTGAATTCAATTTGAAGAAGAAAAAAAACCTTTTAAAATAAAAAATGAAAATCGTCTAATTCATATTTGCCTATAATTCTAGTTGAAAACATTGGATTTAATCCACTTTAGGGGCACTACTCTGGCCAGCTACAAGGGCGAGAAATCCGTAGTTCTTAAATCCTACAAATGGAAAAGGCAGTTTCAGAGGGTCATTTTAGCTGGTAAACAGTGCATCACTCTAAAATGTTCTAAGGCCTTTAGGTGATTTGAGGCTTGTCATTGCATACTAGCGCATCTTTTGAAATTGTTACCTATCCTTGTGGCTGAATCCTCTATCGAGGTTTAATCCGTAGATTCCATGACAAACCATGTTCTCATCAAAAGTACAGTAGAGACCCATCCAGGATCACCATACAGAGCCAGTGGTCTGTTCTCCTTTGTAAACGTCCGTCCCTGAGTAAATACAACCTAAATACTGTTTTCACTGGCAACAGGCATGGTTACAGGTTAAGTGCTGTTTACCCTAGGCGAGTGTAATCTCGAATCCTGTGTTTCCAACCCCATTTTACTTTCCGATCTTTGTGTGCTTACGTTCCCCCTCCTATAGTGCCAGGACAAGATGCCTGTATGAGTATGTAAAGCCCTTGTAAGCGGTGGTTTGGAAGTGAATAATCACATTTGGTTTAAGGATTATTACGACAGCTCAGGTTGTAGTCGAATAGTTTTATGAGCATTGGCTTGATATTCTCTGCTGTCAAGAATTATACATTGGTAGGCCTTAGCCTAACCAATTTGATCCATCAAATACAAATATTTAGCATACAACTTCCCTTTATTTCCCCCTTTTGTTGGGATGGGGGGGGGGGGGGGGAGGGGGCAGGGGCAGGGCTGAGTGGTAAGACAGGGAGCAAGATGGTTCCATAGCTTTAACAAAAATCTTTGTAAAGTATTGTTGAGAGGATATTGCCTCCAATGCATCTGGAATACTTGATGATATAGAAATGCATATTGTACTTGAAAAGTGAGTGACAAGGATGGTTTCAAACTTTGAAGTACATCTCTATAGACTCAAACCACAATTGGTCATTATTCATTCTCTGCTTCATTCCACCCCATTGCCTTTTTGTCAACGGTTCTAAATGACCTTAGAGGGTAGATACTAAGGTCATAGGGCAGACATTAAAAATGAGTTCATTTTGTGTGCTGTCTTTATATGAATGCATTCACCATGACTTTATGTCTGGTGGTTTGAATTGTGATATTGATACCGTTGCCGTTGATGCCACCACACATAAGCAGGGGGCTTTAAAAGAGGGCACAGGGTGTACAGATTACAATTGAATTAAAATCTTTCTTTTTTCATCTTTAAGCCTACATGTTATCCTTCCCAAAACGTTTATTGGAGCAGCTTTAATGTGATAATGACACCTTTTACAAAAGCAAGCATCAAGTTAAGAGCCTTTTTTTAAAGGATTTTTATTTAGAAATTGAAATTAACTAATCAAAGAAGGGACACGTGCCTCATAATAAAATAAAATATGTGATGAATGTAATGCAGTGTAAATATCCTGAACCAGTGAAATTGTTTGATGAATATGAACTTATCTACAAATTTTGCTGTGTAATATTTATTTACTTTGAAAAACAGATTTAGACATATTTTCATTTCATGACTCAGTCACTTCATGTATTGTACTTTTGGGTGACAAAGAGACACAAATATTCATCATATAAATGAAAATAAACTTCATCAACAGACACACTAGAATTAATGTCAATTGAACTGTGAAGTGTTTGCAAAGATGGTAAACTAGAGAGCTCAAATCTGTTGAGAGCCAAAAGGGCATTACATGTAACTCTCTGTTGAAGTATATACATTCAGAAGTTAAAGGTAAAGACCAGTATTGGTAACGCCCCAATTTCAAAAAATGAAATGGAAGCTCTCATTACCCATCATGTGAAAGAATATGTTTTGACTAATACATGATGATAAAAAATTTGCCGGGAAACCGCCTACTAATTCATATATTTGGTAAATTTGTTTCTCTCATGGTCTGTGAGAGATATAGGGTAGTCCCATCTACATCTTTCTGTGTATAGTGCTTGTAACTTTACGAAGAATGGGCCAAATTTCTTATCATTTTGATGATTCCAGAACCTTGCAGATGCTAGATGCTAGATGATCAACCTTTTCTGATCGATTCCACAACGTTTCTTTCACAATGCAATCGCATGACCATAACTGGTCTTTACCTTTAATGCCTTTCTGACTTTTAACACTCATCAACAGATGATATTAGCATGCATTACATTGTGTACTGAGAGCCAGAAGGGTGGTAACTCATATCTACATTTTACATAGAGTTAAATAATGCCCTTTTGGCAGATCTCAGCAGATCTTGACATATAAATCCTCAAGTACATGTTGTGACGTTAAATTCTGCTGAAGTGACCCCAACAGTAGGCTTAAAGAAAGGACGACGACATCCAAGTTGAGATACGTGCATAAAATGCAGTTCATCTGTAATATCAATAAAACAAACAAGCAATCATAAGCATGTGTACAAATTCACATGAATAAACAAACATCTATTGTATCGCACAACTAGCTTGCCATAAATGACCTTAATATGTATAACTGAGTAAAGAAAACCTTCAAGAATAAACTATGTGAGTAAAGCTCACTTGTGCAAACACAAACTGTATAACTGCCTCATTTATCTTATTCTAATGAACTGTCTCAAATTCTACCTTTGTTTACAAATATAACCCTTACAAATCATACCTCTCTATCTTGTAGGTTAACGTCATACACAAATAAACCCTCGACCAGCCTTATTTCCTGCCTCTATCTTACACTCTTTACTTGGTTCCTGAACTAAATTCCTATTTGCTTCTACACCCTTGACATTCTTTATAACCAAGGAAAACAATTCATACTCTTGTTTCATGTCAATTATCATCACTCATTACACACAAATCTAGATTATCCTCAACACAAACTGATATATGCACAAATTGTGCATTCACACACGTTATCCTACGTTTGTCTATATGTGGTGCTACATGCACAGACAACATTTTAACGTACTTTTCATCTTAAAATTACAGAAAACTAGATTTATATCTTGTGCCATTTTTGGCCTCATACAAACAATTAAAGATTGATTTATACAAATAACAGCTTTATAGTACTTACAACATTGGGCTTGTCTCGATTGTCGGGGATTACTGATGGAATCACTGTCCACAAAACATTTCAAATTTTGTGACTTTTAGGCTGGCGAACTACAAACGCCCTCTTACGACCAAATGAAATTATGGTTAATCTGAACCGACGTCATGACAGAAAACTTTCTAAATCTTACATCCCGGCCCCTTAAATGCGTAGCCACAGCAAAGCATTTATCCAAATAACTTCAACTTCCATTCAAATTGTCTAACTTTTCTGTTAATAAAACACAACTAAACATTCAGAATTTACACTCAACTCTGCATAGCACATTCCATTAATTTCATTTACACAATGTAGTACATTACAGTAAATGCCTTTAGGGTGAATTTATAGCCTATACACAACAAACACTTGTCGTCTAAAAATGTATACCGACAGGTCAATTAAAGTAACATTGGGCAAAACGATCAGTTGCCTTAATAGAGTACACATTAACTAAATCTCAACACAATTGTTGACACTCTGTAGCAAATAACAATAACAAGGATTGTTAAAGTCCTTGACATTCCTTACACACTTTGAGTTATCTAGTGAATTACCAAAGGAAAATACGAAATATATCAGCTCAAACATAATGATTCTACATGTACCTCTATGCACTAGAGCTGCTAACTACTCAGAACTGTGTATTTCAGTACTCGATTCTTGAAACTAAACCCCCTTTTTTGTGAGTTTTCAAGCAAAATTCAGTAGCCCACCACTAAGTACAACAGGGTTACACACAAAAAATGATTTTCAAATTCAGAAAATGGTGCTTCTGTGATTAAACTTTCTCATCATTCGCAATCTTGAGTAAATTGTCAATTTACTTCCGGTATACAAAACTTTAGTTCAACTATCCCCTTCATATCAAATATCCTCTTTTGGGTCTATGCATCAAATATCAACACAATTCGGTTCTTTAAAGTTTCAACTTGAACTAGACACTACATATTTGTATGCTCATGCATTGACCAAATAACATGTTATCATGACAAATGATTCTCATTTGTAGTGGTCAAATATAACTCCTGCTCTTAGGAAAAAACATGTAAGAAATTACGTATGAATATCGTTCGAACAAAAAAATCTTTCAGCAATAGTCTCAGTTCAATACTGAAATGAATACATGTATTCTGAAGTCCATTATAGTCTTTCTTCAAGTATTGACTAATAAACATAATATGACATAGTCTATAACAAGGCTGAAATGTTTATTACTCTTCAAGAGTAGAGTTCACTGTCCTCAAATATAACGTGCCCGATTTACCTCAAGGGCACAATGTTACCGCAAATAGTCTTGTATAAAGTCTGAGGACTGTTTTTATCAATTTCTTGCGCTTAAACAAGTTTGTTGCTGTAAACGAGTTCTGTCTTGCGTCGACGTCAGTCTAACTTGAATATGATGATCAGGATCTTTCGCTTGTCACGGATCAGGATAATCGCGACATAAAAAATTCACAAGAGGCGGCGCTAGGCTCTCACCTCGCACGTTTAATTCATCGTGCATCAAATATAATTATCTCACATAAGAAACTAATGCTCCAATTTAGTCGTTCTTCGCTGTGGATCCATTTAAATTGAGATCGCTCTCCACGGTTCACCAATTTACGCTCTTTGCTTCTTCCAAAACTGAAACATGATGATCAGGATCTTACGCTCGTCACGGATCAGGAAAATTGCGACACAAAAATTCACAAGAGGCGGCGCTAGGCTCTCACCTCGCACGTTTAATTCACCGTGCATCAATATAATTATCTCACATAAGAAATGAATGCTCCAATTAGTCGCTGTGGTTCACCAATACGCTATCTGCTTCTTCCAAAAGACATAGTTTCTGCACAGGCCTGACTAGGATACCGGTGCTATGTTTCAGCTTCACCGATCGGACGAGCTTGTCCTTCCCAGGATAGGTTTCGATTACTCTTCCCGTCAACCACTTGTTCCTCGGCAGATTGTCGATAATCAGCACGATGTCACCTTCCTCCAGATTTCTCGTCTCTTTCAGCCACTTCTGCCGCTGTTGTAAGGAAGGTAGGTATTCCTTCACCCACCTGCGCCAAAATAAGTCTGCCAGGTATTGAATCTGCCGCCAGCGTCGACGTCCATACAGATCATGTTTCTGGAACACATCAGGTGGTAGAGCATTTTTTGACCTCAGGAGCAGCAGATGATTTGGTGTGAGAGGCTCTGCATCCCTTGCGTCATCAGATGTTATGGTGAGTGGACGCCCATTGATACTTGCCTCTACTAGACACATAAGAGTCGTTAAGCCCTCATTCAGAACCTGCTGCTTCATGACTGCATTCAAGACCTTTCTCGTAGTTCTGATTTGTCTTTCCCATGATCCACCCATATGGGATGCTCTCGGTGGATTGAATTTCCAATCAATTCCTTGTTGAAGGAGATTATCGTGGATCTTCTCCTGGTTCCATCGTTTCAATCCCTCCCTCAGTTCACGTTCAGCACCTATGAAATTTGTACCATTGTCGGATCTGATAATCTCTGGTTGTCCTCTGCGTGAAATAAATCTGTGAAGGGCATTCAGAAATGAATCCGTCTCCAATGAATGCAGTACCTCTATGTGTATTGCTCTTATAACCAGACAAGTGAATATACATCCATATCTCTTCACAGAGCTCCTTCCTTGTCTCACCATGTATGGGCCAAAGCAGTCAACTCCCACGTTACTGAATGGAGGTTTTTCTGGTACCACTCTATCTGCCGGCAAATCTGCCATCTTCTGTTCCACTGGTTTTGCACGTTGACGTTTACATGTGAAACACTTGTGTAGTACATGACGAACTGCTAACCTCCCTCTGATTATCCAAAATCGTTGTCTGAGTAGGGATAGCACATACTCCTTCCCTGAGTGACCACACATAATGTGGTAATGTCTCACCAAAAGCTGTACTACATGATGCTTGGAAGGCAAAATCACTGGGTGTTTTGTCTGCTCTTCTAGTGGTGCATTGTGTAGTCTTCCTCCAACACATATCAATCCTTCGTCTGTGAGTTTCACGCTCAATTTAGATAGTGGGCTGGATTTTGCTATTCGAGTGGGTGACCGTTGTGTAGTCTTATTTTGCTGTAAGACTCTGTACTCCTCAGCATAGGTCTGTTGCTGAACGTATCTGACAATTGCTTCTTCAGCTACAGTCATCTCATCAACTGTTACTGGCTGCTTCATGTCCAGTAAATTCATATCTTTGCGTGCCTTTCTTCTCAAGCACTCCTTGACCTTCAGGATCCATGCAATACCTTTCTTCAGCCGAAACCAGGACGAGTAACTTTCAAGGAGTCTATCTGTCGCCTTGACTTCAGATTCGGCTGCAGCAAACACTCCAGTCTTGTCTTGCTTTACCTCTGGGTCATGCTCTAAGCTAGACTCATTCACTGTCAAGCTTTTAGGCCAATCGCATTCTTCTGACCACAAAAATTTTGGCCCTTCTTTCCATCGTCCAGTCAATTCCTCAGCTGTCAGTCCACGCGAGGCATCATCGGCTGGATTGACATCAGTGTTAACATGTCGCCACTGCCTTGGTTCAGATCCCTCATGAATGGTTGTAATTCTGTTTGCTACAAACGTATGGAAACGTTTATCCTCATTCTTCACATAATGAAGTACTATTGAACTGTCAGTCCAAAACACTGACTCTTGGAGCGGCAGATCCAGTTCCCGTTGTATCATACTGTCTATAGTGACAGAGAGTGTAGCCACCATCAGTTCAAGCCGTGGGATTGTCATCCTCTTCAGGGGTGCAAGACGTGACCTTGCAAATAGTATGCTGCAGTGCACCTGACCCTCAACATCCTTCATCCGCAGGTAGGAAACGACTCCATAGGCTTTCTCTGAAGCATCTGCAAAGTGATGTAGCTTATACTCTGCTACCTTGCCAAAGTCGTGTGGTTTGATGCATCTGTTGACCTGGAATTCAGTCATCTTGGGTAGTTCCTGTAACCATTCATTCCATCTCTCTATTTCCTTGCTTGGAATCTCCTCATCCCATGCAAGTTTAAGTCTGGTTAGTTCCTGCAAGATCATCTTAGCCTTTAGGATGAAAGGACTGGCGTAACCGAGAGGGTCGTAGATGGAAGATACAACACTCAAGATACCCCTCCTGGTTTGGGGTTTGTCCTTGGGTCTAAATTTGTACAGCAAACAATCAGTTTCTACATCCCAGCTGATTCCAAGTGCTCTCTCGACTGGAAGAGCATCATGATTGAGATCCAGACCCCTCACATCGTTAGCTCTCTCTTCTTCTGGTATGGATTGCAGGACAAATGGGTTGTTACTGACCCATTTGGTTAATCTGAAGCCTCCTTCACTGAGCAAGACCATCAAGTCCGCAGCAAGTTTCACCGCTGTTTCTTCATTCTCAACTGACACCAGGCAGTCGTCCACATAGAAGTTCTCGAGAATGGCCTTAGATGCTTCCACTTTACCATTACCATCACCGTTTCTTGCTGTCTGACGAAGTGCATGGCTGCACACACTTGGGCTCCACGTACCTCCGAAGAGGTGGACGCACATCCGGTAGACCAGCGGTTCCTTGTTGAAGTCTCCGTCCTTCCACCACAAGAATCTCAACACGTCTCGATCTTCTGGAGGTACCCTCACTTGGTGGAACATTGCCTCTATATCTGACATGAGTGCTACTGGTTGCTGGCGGAATCTAAGCAAAACTCCCATCAAATTGCTGATAAGGTCCGGCCCCTGTAACACTGCATCATTCAAAGATACCCCTTGGTGCTTGGCCGCACAATCGAACACGATTCGCATCTTGTCTGGTTTTTGGGGATTCAAGACTGGATGGTGGGGCAAATACCAAACAGGGGTGTCCTTGGGTTGCCTAGTCTCCTCACTAACTTCCTCTGCATAGCCTTTCCTGAGGAGATCCTCTATGCCCTGTTTGTATTTCACATACATTGCTTGATCTCTTTGCAATCTCCTTGCCAACGATTTCAAACGCTGTTCTGCACTCCACTTGTTATCAGGCAAGTTAGGTGGTCTCCTTCTGAAGGGCACCGGTAGTTGGAAATGTGCACCTTCCCGCTGGATGTCCCTCTCCCATATTTCCATTACCTTCTTGTCATTGACTGACATTGCCTTGTCTTTCTTAAGCACATCTGTAGCTTCAATCTTCCAGAATTGGCTGACTTGTTCCTCCAGTCTATCATTACTGTCAATGAAGCTAGATGTAGCTTTGGGTACACCATCTGAACTGGAACCTACAGGTCCACTCACTGACCAACCCAATTTGGTCCTAACAGCATAAGGGCCATGCTGTCCTCGTCTCACCTCGATAGGTATCAAGGCTTCAGGTGAATCCTGCCCTATCAACAGTCCAACTTCATGTCGTTCAATGATCGGGAGGTTGATTCCTTCTAAGTGATGATATCCTGAAATGTCATCCACATTGGCAATGTGTGTGTCTCTGATATTAATGGCGTCTCTGGTATACACACAGGGTAGCTTCACACAGTCTGTATCTGGTCCCGTGTCTGCAATCAGACTAATCACTGAGGTCTCTATGGGGCTATTACGCTTCTCCAGTGTTGTCAGGCTTAAACTTTGCTTCCTTCCAGTAGCATTGAGTTCTCTGGCCAAAGTGGCTGCACAAAATGTACTGGTTGAACCAGAATCCAACAGTGCATATGTATTCACAAATACATTCTCTCCTTGAGCTCTAACCCTCACTGGAACAATGGGAAGCACACACCTTCCGGCCCCTGTGACACACTTCTTAACGAACCCATTCTGGACTTGATGGACTTCGTTGTTCTGGGTTTCAACTGGAGCCTGTGTCGTTGTCATCCTTCCTGCAGATGAAGATGCATCCTGTGCAAAATGGAGAAATTTTGTGTGTTTTCTCTGGCATCCTTGTACTGAGCATCTTCTATTCAATCTGCAAAACCTACTGGTGTGGCCAGATTGCAGGCAGTTGAAACATAGTCTGTTGTCCTGAGCAAACTGAAATCTCATCTCGGGTGCCATGGATTTAAAACTGTCGCACCCAAACAAGGAATGTTCTTGCCTACACTTCAGGCACTTCAGGTTGACTGCTACTTCTGTTACCTCTGTAGCGTACATGTAGTTACTTCTTGTACTCTTCTTGTTGAAAGCTGGGTTTGAAGTTTCAACTCTTTTTGTTGTTGCTGTCAGATCTCCAAAGACAGGATCATTGGCTTCCTCAGCAGCGTTGGAGACAAACCTTGCCATGTCCGAGATATCGGGAGAACGCTCCTGCTGTCTGATGTCTCTCACCAACTTTAACCATCTACCTTTAAGGTAATATGGAAGTCTCTCAGCCACCTTCAGCAACTCTCTCTGGCTACTAATTTCCTGCAGTAGATCCATTGCTCGAAGAGTTTCCATGCTGATCTTCAACTCATCTGCAAACTTCTGCAGCCCCTTCCGGTCATTCGCATGGCAGATTGGACCAGTGGTTATACGTTTGATCCAGGCTTCTCCTATCTTGTACTTGCTGCCAAAGCGTTCCACCAACAGCTCTCTGGCTCGTTGGTACCCATACAGTGGTTCCATGACCATACAGCACTGTATGATGCCCTTAACTTCTCCTTCACAGCAATGATATAACTTCATAAGTTTTGTCCCACTATCGAGTGAAGATCGACCAATTAGGTTGTCGAACGACATCATAAATTCATGGAAGTGCAAAGGACTCCCATCAAACTTCATCATCTCTACATTAGCCAGACTGATAGCTTCCAACCATCGTTGTTGCTGAACTTGGGTCTGCAGATAAAATTCTCGGTCGTCTCGTGGTTGATAAGCTTGACCTGAAATGGGAGATGAAGCCATTTGCTGAGCTGGAAAAGGAATAGTCTCTTGTAGGAGCGCAGGTTCCTTGACATCATGATTGCTGACATGATGATGATATTCCGTAGCATGCTCTGCACTTTCATGCACCTGCTTGACATTCTGCTGACTGGAACTCCTATTCCCTATACTCGACACCTTACTGCCACTCCTGTGTTGCTCATACACGTCTTCTTCTGCCTCTGCTGCGCTGAGCTTGGCACGTAAGAGTAACTTAGCCTTCCTTTGCTTAAGGCGTATTTCTTCGAGTTCTATCTCTTGTTCTTCCTGAAGAACTGCTAATTCTGCTGCTATTGCAGCCCTCTTGGCCCTGGTCCTAAGTCCAGATGACGTGGTGGAACTCTTCCCAACCTGACTTGCAGAATCCTCTGGATTGACATCATCAACACCTACTTGACTCATGGTGACGAATGCTAAAGCTGTTATGAACTTTGTGTGACGTTAAATTCTGCTGAAGTGACCCCAACAGTAGGCTTAAAGAAAGGACGACGACATCCAAGTTGAGATACGTGCATAAAATGCAGTTCATCTGTAATATCAATAAAACAAACAAGCAATCATAAGCATGTGTACAAATTCACATGAATAAACAAACATCTATTGTATCGCACAACTAGCTTGCCATAAATGACCTTAATATGTATAACTGAGTAAAGAAAACCTTCAAGAATAAACTATGTGAGTAAAGCTCACTTGTGCAAACACAAACTGTATAACTGCCTCATTTATCTTATTCTAATGAACTGTCTCAAATTCTACCTTTGTTTACAAATATAACCCTTACAAATCATACCTCTCTATCTTGTAGGTTAACGTCATACACAAATAAACCCTCGACCAGCCTTATTTCCTGCCTCTATCTTACACTCTTTACTTGGTTCCTGAACTAAATTCCTATTTGCTTCTACACCCTTGACATTCTTTATAACCAAGGAAAACAATTCATACTCTTGTTTCATGTCAATTATCATCACTCATTACACACAAATCTAGATTATCCTCAACACAAACTGATATATGCACAAATTGTGCATTCACACACGTTATCCTACGTTTGTCTATATGTGGTGCTACATGCACAGACAACATTTTAACGTACTTTTCATCTTAAAATTACAGAAAACTAGATTTATATCTTGTGCCATTTTTGGCCTCATACAAACAATTAAAGATTGATTTATACAAATAACAGCTTTATAGTACTTACAACATTGGGCTTGTCTCGATTGTCGGGGATTACTGATGGAATCACTGTCCACAAAACATTTCAAATTTTGTGACTTTTAGGCTGGCGAACTACAAACGCCCTCTTACGACCAAATGAAATTATGGTTAATCTGAACCGACGTCATGACAGAAAACTTTCTAAATCTTACACATGTACTTAGGGTCTCTAACTCTCTATGAAGTATGAAATATTTCCATCAATCACTTCAAATTCTTTACTTTGAGGTTATTCATTATCAGTAAATGAGTGCTGTAGTGTTTGAGCAATTTGTCAAACTTTGCCTCTTGTAGTTGAATGGTATGCTATTTGTCACCTTTTGACCTGATTAACTTGTTGGCACTCCAAAGGTGTTTGAACAAAGAATATAAATCGTGTCTGAGCACTGTCAAACTAGGCTAAGATGTGTGACCAATTCAACCGCTCACACCTGCATGTACTAAACAATGATGCAAGAATTTAATTGAAATCATAAATTTATGACAAATTACTTTACCAGTACCAGTGAACAAGTTGTGATTTTGCTTGACAAATGCTTGTGGGCCCTGTATCATAAAATTGTTGTAAATCTAATTTTGTTGACATTCTCTTAAAATGTTAGTAACTGTTATAAACACTTGTCTACTGACTCGAACTTCCAACGGTTTTTGCGAGAAGGACCCTAGATCTTCAGAAACATACAAACCTCTACAAATCTAAATAGAGTTATGTAGCATCTGTAAAATGCATGAGTCTTTCTTCTTCTTCTTCATGAATTAGTAATTATTAAGCTGTAATATGTTTTAGAAATCTTAAACATATTGGGGAAGCTATGAAAGTAGGCCAATAATCCTACATGTACTCAAAGGAAACCTCAACTCAAGGAATAAGTGTTGGTGTATGCTGAAAAATGAGATGAATTTTTGTCCTTTGATTTACAATATTCCTTATAAAATGTAAGAGGTATATATAAGAAGATATTCTTGGCATGATGTAATGCCTTTTAGCATGACATGGGCGCAGCCATTCTTGATAATGTGATGTACCAGGCGAACTTGTGCAAAAATGCAAAACCTTCACACCAGAAGAGCACCAAATTATGTATGCAATTTGCATTCTGTCAATTGTGGTACAAACGATAACAGCAGGTGAATGAAATGCTTCATCACCTCACACACCTGGAAAGAAAGCATCCATAGATTCAATACAATCACTTGATAAAAGATTTCACATAGTACGTCACATTATCAAGAAAATAGCGATGCCCATGTCGTGCTGAGAAACTGTACATTATATTCAATACATGGAGATCGCTAGTTTGCTACATTTATGTGTCTCAAGGTTCAGTTTGGATCCATTTCTTTTATCATTTTTGTGATGTTTATGAAACCTAGAATTTGTTATAATCGAATAATTTTAGATAAAAATAAGAAATTATATAGTAGAGGTGTGTACTCTAGTGGGTAAGTTTCCAGAATGTGAACCACAAGGTACAGGGTTCAAATCTCTGCTGCACTACAGACGTCCCTCATCAAGACATTAATCTAACATTGCTACGCTCGACCCAGGTGTAGTAAGTGGGTACGCAGTTGCATTTATTCCTTGAATGTACCAGTCACTGTGGTTACCGAAGCTAATGCTGGGGTAATAATATCCAAAGTCCTTCATAAGAACGACATATTATTATTATTCATTATGTAGACCTACATACAAGTACATGTACATGTACCAGGCATACTTTTTGTAGGCCTACTTCTAAGTTTTACTGGGCTTGTACACAGACACGACACACAATGCTACTTTGACTGACGCTTGGGATCAACTCTTTCTTTATCAGGTGCATAGTCCTTCCAAGGTTTCTTTCTTTTCCCCAAAATATTCCATCTGGATAGATCGCAATTAAAGCCTTGTAGCCTATTATTTGTTCACCTTCTGGGGGAAAACATCTAACTGAGGTTTTTCTCCTCTAAGGCTTGGCTCATTTTCCCCCATTAATTGTGAGTTATTTGAATTTGTTTTGCACATTGTAACCTACTCATCCTGTACAGATTGTAGAGCTTGATGTACATTGTACATGTATTGTGGTATCATCATTTGCTACGCCGTGATAATGGCGAATATAAGCCTTTACGGACCCATGTACAGTACGGTATGCACTGTAGTATAAATAAATGTATCTGGGTTTAGCACTTACATTAAGAGCTTTTGTCACTAATGAAATAGATAATTTTGTTCATAAAGACATTAAAATCAAAATGTTGTCCCTGATACATGTAACTTTACTCTCTTGCTAGAGGTTGGGATCAGAGCAAATTAGACACATTTATTTGTTGAGACGTACTATCACATTCGGCCTTGATATCAAGATGAAGACATAGAAATACAGTACAAACGTGCACTTAAAGTTTATAGAATGTGCACAAATTGTTTACAAATTCCATGTTCCCTATTGGAAGAGGGGAGGGGAGAAATGTAAAAACAATCTTGTATGTAAGTCAGTGTGAGAGAGAGAGAGAGATAGAAAAGAAATTAGCTACATCTAATATGCAAATTAGTGACCTACGTGTATGCAGTATAACCTGGGTCTACAGTGCAGCGAATGCTTTGTCCTTACCATCTAATTGATGTTTAGAATTATGCATGAGGCATCTGGCACTTGTGATTTACAGCAGAAATTAGTTGGCACAATGCACTATAAAAGCATCGGTGTACAAAACAAAATACACCATCTCTTATTGAAAATGATGAAAATTGGTAATTAATGATCATAGTAGGCATTGTACAATGCAACTAGCTGGTATACAAATGATATAGTCAATTTTAGTGTTTGGGAATTAGCACATCCTTTTTGGGGGGTAATGTTTGTAACTAACATAATTATGACATTTTTTGAATATATATGATCTATGTTTTGAGAGCCGAAATGATCAGACAGCATTTTGAGTTAGTATGAGAGTGCCTACATGTAACAATGTGTAGGTCAATGATTAGCTACTCCAGAAATATTTCAAGATATTTGGGATTATGATTTATTATGATTGTTTTGTTTTGTTTATAATATATATAAATTGTGATTTATCAAATTGATGAAATAAGCTGCTTTAAAAAATAAAAATAGATATTTTTTAAATTTAATATTTTTCGGGGGAAAGGGGTATTTATTTTTAATGCAAAAATCCACTCTGTTGTACTTGGAGATAAAAGTTATATCATATGGTGCTTTCAATACAGCAACTATTCCATTTCCTGGGGGGCGTTTCATGAAACAATTAGTCGGTGGTTTTCACCGACTAATATCATGTTCACCAACACTTTAGTCAACGCTGACTAAACTTGACCAATCACAGGCCTGGAAAATAGTCGGTGACAAAAGAATTGTCAGTGAACATGATATTAGTTGGTGAAAACCACGACTAATTGTTTCATGAAACGCCCCCCAGATCTTAACAAAAAATGCTAAGTAATAAAATCAACTTAAATCTATTCTACAACAACATCAAAACCTGTTTAAGATCATACTTCTGATCTACATCTCCCTACATAAATGAAACTCATACTAAAAAATTCATCGCTAGACTATGTGATTTTTTTGACACTTTGTGTATCGCCCATTAAACAAGAAGGAAAAAACATTCCCTTTGAAGCGTCTGCTGTTGCATACATTTCAACCTTCCTTCTGCATATTATGATTGAGAGACAGCAATTTTTACGCTTGAATTTCAAATTCTTCCATCATATTAATTTGAAAGGCGAGGTCACAGTGCCAGGTCTTCTCAATAAGGCTATTCAAGAAGTTTGCCATTAAGCTCATCCTCATTGTATCGAGGATAAAAAAAAGTAGTCTTCAATACAGCAGGATGCAGGTGTATAGATGTACACATTTTTTTCTCTCTCTGTCTCTCTCTTAAATTCTTCAACATTTTCTTCAGGTCTTAAAAGCAAAAAAGGTTAAAAACCCTGCCACTTAAAGTAAGTAGGTACATTTTTAATTGTTATAAGTCATAAATTATTGTAAAAAAAGATAAAAGCAATGCTCATATACATATTAAGTTAATGATGAATAATGTGCTGAATGATTCCTATATATATATATTTCATGTAAAGGCCGCTGAAGGCAATGTTTCAATACATCTCAGCATTTTAACCTTTGCCTAGCACATTAAGGGCTTGAACAATTTTTTTCTTCAAATACTATATT